ATACGGGGAAGCAAGGGAAAGGAGGTAGGCCTGGCCGTCGTATGCATCGGGGGGGGTGGGGTGAGATGCGATAAGGGTTGGGTTATATATTCATCATGCCTCAGTATCTGTCGTGTACAGCCGAATAGTGCAGAGGGTAAGCCGGGGCGGAGGGGGTGCAATGGAAATGTGGCGGGAATGGAGCGGCGGAGGGATTGGCGAGTTCCACGAGGCCGCAGCGGCGTCCATGATGGAACGGATGGCGTTATGTGGGCGGAAGCAGAGATTTTTTTGACTCCCGATCATACCTTGGCCTTCTCCTCCTGTGCTGTCCGCATTGGATCTTGTGGGGCACAGATACACGCGCGTGCCCATTCCTTTCCGCCGTTCCGGTTTTTCTGTCACGACGGCCCCTCGCCCTACGACAATTCTCCACACAATTCTCCCCGCCCTGCAGTGCTGTACACTACTTCCTACGCTTACAGTAAATATCTATATACAGTACCCTTTAAAAGGGTACTCTTTAAAAGGGTACTGTACCCTTGGTATCACTGGATTGCATTGTACCGTACCGGTTCGCCGCAGACCACTGTCCCATATACAGTACGTGCAATGCCCTGCGTCTGGCACCAACATCCTATTGAATAGCCACCCGTCGCATGGCACACGCAGCCATCTGTGGAAGCATGTCGAGCAACAACGCCGATACACATGCACCACCTGCAGAGCAACACACGCCATCGTACCTGTTGCCGTCGTCGACAGGTGCTGAAACAGCTCTCAAGTCCCAACGCCGGCTTGCGCTACGAGCATTGGCTGAGAGCTCAAACAGCCACTATTGTACAACTCAAACGTACCGCACTGGATTAAGGCAAGCCCTATCCTTCCAGCGTCAAAATATCTCTCAATCAGAAAATGCTGATGAGCTCCCCCTCTCTTTTGAAAACATGTTATGTGGTGCATTCTACACACAATCTCTTTACTTGTAAAACTGAAGCACAACGTCACCGCATCGACTGCATCTATTGAGTAATCCGGCGTCGTCTCTTTTCTGCTTAGTAAGTCTCAACCTCCCAGCGCTTGGCCTTCTTCATCGACTTGCGGTATGCAATCCAATCCTTCCCGTCCCTCTCAAATCGCGACGTCATGAAGCCGTCGATCCCGCTCTCCATACCTTTCAGCCCACACATGTATACGTATGTGTTGTCCTTCTGGAACAGCTCGTACAGCTCATCCTCATACTCCTTCATGCGGTTCTGCAAGTACATCTTGTTGCCGTCAGGGTCAGTCTGCTCACGCGAAATAGCGTAGTCCAGACGCACGTTCTCGGGGAAGTTGGCCTTCATCTCCTCGAATTCCTGCTGATACAGCAATGTCGATGCCGTCGGCACACCGAGGAACAGCCACATTGTCCCCGTGAACTTGTAATCCGGATTGTCCTCACTGAATGCCCGGCGCATGAATGCACGGAACGGTGCCACCCCAGTACCTGTAGCAAGCATGATGAGTGTGGCATTGGGATCTGTAGGCATAAGCATCGTCACACCAACGGGACCTGAGATCTTCACGTCGTCTCCTGCCTTGAGGTCGCAGAGATGGTTTGAACACACCCCCTTAACCTCGTTGCCATCAGCATCCTGATATACGAGGCGCTTCACCGATAGAGACACAGTCTTACCATCTCCAAAGTCTCCGTGCTGCGTAGACGCGATCGAGTACAAACGGGGCTTGTGCGGCCTTCCCTTTTTGTCTGTGCCTGGCGCCACAATACCAATGGACTGTCCCTCAAGATACGGCACGTTTCCATCGTGGTTGAAGATCATGTGCATCGTCTCTCCGGGGGCATCCTCGCCGACAATGCGCTCGTTGTACAGCACCTTGGCGGTATACGGATTCTTGGGACGGTAGACATTGAGCGGTATTTTGCTCTTGTCAATGGTGGCCATGTTAATCCGAGCCGCAGGACGACGAACGGCGACGCGAAGAGATGCGCCATTGCTGAAGGAGGAGCGCTGCTCCGCAAGGACCGCACCATGGCGGTTGGCGGTGAGCGGCGCGGCGGAGACGAACCCGTACATTGTGGAGAATGTAAGTCGAAAGGACGAGGACAGTGAGGACTTCGAAACGAGGCGGATGCGAGAAAACGAACGGCCTGGAAGAAAGGAGCGCCAAACTTAAACGTAGGAGAGAAGGACCTTGAAATTGTGTTGGAACAATGCTTCCGCGAAGCACGCTGTGGTGAGGTGGATGAGAGGCTGGGATGGCGCAATTGCACCAGTCGAATTAGGGTTACCCCCCAGTTGGATCTCCCAGTCCCGCACCTCTGCTCTTGGGCCATTCATCCATATCCACAAGAATTGACATCGACAGCCTGTCCAGCAGCATGTTAGTCATCCACGAATCCTGATTACATGTTTCCCTGATCTCGATCTACTGCATATTTCAAACTTTCAATTTCAATTTTTCCCTCCAATTCTTTCTATACTTCTCTCCTCCTTCCTTTCCTCGTCATCTACTCTGTGCTCCACTTGCACATTGAGGTTTAACCTCGTCAGCCTTGCCATTCGAAACCTTTGTCCCTTTTATGCCATGGAATTCCAAATACCCCTCCACTTTGAAGACCTCACCCGCTCTGCGGCCGGGTCATGGCGAGTCCGTCCTACCCCTCAGCGTGAGTCTCCGTCGGATGACCTTCTGCAGCTCGTGCAACAAGACCCAACCGCCATTGTCTCCTCCTCGTCAGGACCTTCTCCGCAGTTCACCGCGGTTTTTACTTTAATCACCAACTACTCGAGCCTAACCAAATCCAACCGCGTCGCCCTCGCCGACATTGTCGACAGTTTGCCTGATCAAGTCAGTGCCTCCGATGCCTCTCATGTGAAAACAGCTGCCTTCCTTATAGCGGGACTGGCAGTCACAGCCTCCGCCGTCACCCCGGTTTGCAAATACTGGGAGAAAACAGGCCGCGAGGCCGTGCTTGAGGCTATCTCCGGACTCCTGAGCTCAGACTCAATACCAACTAAATTTGGCCCCACAGACCTCGATCAGCTGTGCAGTTTGGTAGTCCGCACGATTCTTCAGGTTCTAGAACAGCCTTCTGCCGCTAAGGACAAGAATGCCCGCACCGTACTCGCGAGATCCCTCGCCACAGCTCTCACACTCGACCCGCGGCAAAGCTTGCCAGCGATCACGGCCTTGCTGCATGCATTGAATCGGCATGAACATTTACCGGGGCCTATGGCGGACATGCTCTTCAAAATGACGGAGGAGAAGAGCGCACTTGTTCAGTTCGTATCTGAGTTTGTTCGTGAGATCTCGAGGCTTCCTTCAGATGATCTTGCGAGGGATGTCACTGCCGCCAGGGGATGCTCCGCGTTCATCAGTGAGCTTTCGGAGCGCATGCCTCAAGTCTTCCGCTCCAACTTGGCGTTGGTTCTGTCTCAGCTCGACTGCGACAGCTACACAATGCGAAACGGCGTCGTCCATGTGATCGGGACACTAATTCGTGCCGCTCCAAATCCCGATGATCCATTGCTTGATGTTCTTATGGAGCGCTCTCATCGCGATATCCATGCGTATACTAGAAGTAAGGCTCTTCAAGTTTGGATTCTCCTGGCAGAGGCCCGGGTAATTCCAAATCGCCTTTTTCCAGTGCTTGCTGATATGGCTGCATCTCGTCTTGATGATCGAACTGCAGCAGTAAGGAAGTATGCGACGCAGTTACTTGGTGCTCTTCTCCGTAATAATCCTTTCGGACCCGGTCTGCAAAAGTCTCATTTCGAGGCCAAGCTCGAAGAGATCCGCTCACTTGCTCCGATAGCAGAGCAAGACACCAAAGTGACGAGCAAAGTACCAGAAAACTCTCCAGAAGACGTTTCAAGCGAAGTCTCTGGCATTGACAAAGAGAACAGCCCGGCGAATGACAGTGCTAGTGAGTGCACAAATGTCGACAACCTGCTTGAAGATGATGAAAGAACGGCTGAAGAGGACAATGGCGAGAAGAATGGAGCAGAGGATTCGGAAATGGCTCTGAAGATTAAGTACTACTCTTGGGCCTTAGCATTCATTCAAGCAGTTGAGACAGGACTTGAAACTACTTTCAATATGCTACGATCCAAGAGTATCACAGATGTCTCTGAGGCTGTATCTTTTTCGGTAACTGCTGTTCAGTTTCAGTTGGAGGCTGCTTCAGGCCGAGCGGTAAGAAAGATGCTTCCTCTTGTGTTGGCCCGTGAGAACAATATACGCAAGGCAGCTGTGAATGCATATATTCGTCTACTTGCACCTGATGGGTTCGAAACAATCGATGACAAAGAATCCGCAATGGGTGTGGCCGGCGGGCTTGCTGCACTTGGAATCGGTGCCACGACGGGTGAGCTAGCATGCATGGAAGCTCTCATGACGGCTTTCTTTGCTTCTCCAGATACATCTAAGCTGATGTCACCCTCAGTGATTGCCGTTTTGTGGGATATCTTCGCGGGAAAAGTTCCTGGGGCTTCATTAGAACAACGACGATCTGCCTGTATTTTGGTAGGGATGGTGGCCGCTGACCTGCCGGATTCTCTTCAGAATAGGGTTCAAATACTGCAGTCCATTGGTTTGACTGATCCTTCCTTCGCCCGATGGTCCTGTGTCGCTCTTTGTAAGCTACCCCCTGGAAGCGATCGAGATGGCCGACTTTCACAGCAACTTGCCGAGATTGTTAAGACATCGAAGGACTTGTCGACAGTGGAGCAAGGGGTGAATGCAATATATGTACTTTCTTCCGAACCAGAATCAGTTGTTGGCTCAGTAATACGTGAACTTGCTCAGACGTTGCACAGGGAGCCTGCAACTGTTCCTGTGAAAGAGCTTTCACGATTCCTGCAAGTGGTTGGGCATGTTGCTGTCAAGGAGTTGGTCCGAATTGAGTCCCTAGTCAGTGAAGTACGCAGGTGCATTGCAAGCCAGGCTCGTGGTGATGGTAATCATGAAGAGGAGGACCAGGCAAATGCAGAGGCAGATAAAGCATTACAGCTCGCAGAGAAAGAGCTGGTTAGTCCTGCATCACTTCTCGGTCGATATGGAAAACTAGCGAGAAAGATTGCGTCGGACAGATCTGCGCCTCCTGAACTTCAAGCGTCCTCAGTGCTTTGCATGGCTAAACTCATGTGTGTGCAAGAATCCTTCTGTGAAAATAATCTGCGGCTTCTGTTCTCCATCCTGAATTCTGCCGAAGAGCCCCTTGTGAGATCTAACGCGGTCACAGCGCTCGGGGATCTTGCGTTCCGGTTTCCAAATATGGTTGAACCTTGGAATTCTCACATCTATGCTGCGCTGCAGGACAAGAACGAGACGGTAAGAAAGAATACCCTGATGGCCTTGACACATCTTATCCTCAACGATATGGTTAAGGTGAAAGGGCAAATTGTGGGGCTGGCAATCTGCATTCTCGACGAAAACGGAAGAATCGCAGACCTTGCCCGGCTATTTTTCCATGAACTGGCCCGGAAATCTGCAAATGCGATTTACAACATTCTTCCTGACACAATCAGTTGCATGAGTCATATGGAGGACTTAAAATCCGACGATTTCAAGACTGTAGTTGCTTTCTTGGTTGGGTTAATGGATAAGGAAAAGCATGCGGATGGAATGGTGGAGAAGCTGTGCCACAGATTCAGGACAAACGAAAGTGTTCGTGAAAACCGTGACTTGGCGTACTGTATTTCGCAACTCAACATTTCAGAAAGGGGAGTGAAAAAGATGAACGATAACTTCAAGAGCTACAGCACTGCTATTTGTGATGTAACAGTGTATGAGTATATCCTGCAGGCAGTGAATAAGGGGAACAAGGCTGGGCCGAATGGACAACCTTCGCAGGCATTTGAAGAATTAACGGCAAAGATCAATGTTTTGAGGCCTGCTGTTGCGCAGGTGGAGGAAAATGAGGACAAGGATGCCGACGTAGAGAGCGAAAATTATTCCGAAACTACAACTCGTTCACGACGATCGAGCCGGCGCCCTTCCAGCAATAGAGCGCCCAAGGCACTGGAGCAGGAAGTCAATGGTGACGAGGATGGCGCCTCGGAAACGACGATGGGAGCTGAGGACGAGTCAGTATCTCGAGAATCAAGTGATGGGCAACGTCGCAGGAGCGTGAAGGCTGGCAAGGCTGGTAAGGTTGATATCGAAAGCGATGAGGAGTCGGCAAGCGAAGGAGGGGAGCAGGAAGACGAGGCAAGCCCTAAACCCTTTCGCAGTGAGGCGCCGAGCAGCCAGCGAAGGGCTAAGAGGCGAGTTATCGTGGAAGACGAGGAGGAGGACGAGGAGGACGAAGAAGAAGAGGACGATGACGAAATGAGCCTTGGCAGTGACGGATCAGAGAGCGATGGAGAAGAATCTGTTACGGGCGAAACGACACCCAGACGAAGCTCTCGGCGTAGCGCGCGGCTTTCGGGGATCTCGGGTGACGACGCTCTAAGTAATAACGAGGGCGCAGACTTGGAAGAAGAGGAGTCGGACAGGGAGGCGGAGTCTAGCGATGGCAGCTCGAACGATTACGAGGACTGCTTGTAGTAGTGGTAGTATCATACTACTATGTTTACACATTCACTCACATACACACACAGGTTTCTCCGAAGCTCTCAAATTGCGCCGAAGTACGGGGGCGTCCCTATCGCGGCCCGGTGCTCTGGTTGTTGTTATCCGCCACGGGGGTCCTGTTGGCGTTCGAGGCGGTGGCCGGCGGCGGGGCCGCGCTGCTGAGCTCGTCGAGGGCGAGGTCTGTCCATTTGTTGTCCTCCTCCTCGTCCTGGTGTGCCGTCGGGTCGTCCTCGTCAATGTTGGTGATGGCGGTGGGCGGGACGTCCACGTCCTCCACGGGCAGCGTCTCCGCGGCCCAGGCCTCGTCCACGACGTCGATCAGGACGTGCGGGTCCTGGTGGATGGGCGCGGAGAAGGACATGTCCATCGCGGGTGCGCTTTTGCTCGCGGCTCGGGGAAGCGAGTGGACCGGCTTCCGCTGGGTCAACGGGGGGCCGCTGCAGTGCAGGGGAAGTGGTTTGAAATGTGAGAGAGAAGGTCCACACGTGTAGCGTGATTGGAATTTAAACTTGACTCTTTTTGGCGGGAGCCGACCTTGTGATCCAATGCGAGACTCCGCCGTGATCCAAAGCTGACAACGGGAGAGCAGCAGACCACGATCGAGACTTTCCAGAAATTTCGATCGGTCACATTAAATTTCGGTACTTTCGGGATCAATCTCGTCCAGCAAAAAAGCGCTGAGCAACTGCAGCTCAGAGCCCCCGCTGCGCCCCATCTCATCAACCGTGAGGCACACCTCATCCTCGATCCACCCGACCGTCGTCCCCGTCCTCGCACCGAATTCCGCCTCCCGCTGCCCAGCGAAATCCGGCTCCAACTCCACCCCCCGCCACCATGGACCTCTTCGCGCCTGCCCCCGGCTTCGTCTCCTCGCCTGCGCTCCTCCCCTCCGCCGCGTCGCCCTTCACGCGCGCCGCGACGGCCCGCCCGCTGCTCCCGTCGCGCGCGCCTCGCAAGCCCTGCCGCGCGCGCTTCTTCGCGCTTGGCGCGCCACCGTCGCCGCCGTCGCAGCCCAGCGAGCGGGATCCCAGCGAGCCGGAAAACGAGGAGGACGCCGCGCCGGAGGGCGAGGCCGCGCCGCCCGAGGGGGATGCGCCGCCCGAGGTGACGGCGGACGACATTCTCAATTCGCCGGCCTTTCTGCGGAAGAAGCTGGAAATCGTCCAGAAGGAGCTCATGGACGCAAAGGATGCACTCGGCGAGGACAGTGAGGCCATGCAGGCGGAGAAGGACCGCTACGTCCGCCTGGCCGCCGACTTTGAAAATTATCGCCGGCGGAGCGCGGAGGACCTCAGGAAACAGGACACGAAGAGCACCGTCAAGGTCTGCAAGGAGATCGTCACCGTGCTGGACAATTTTGACAGGGCCATTGAGGCTGTCACTCCGGAGACTGAGCGCGAGAAGATCATCAACAATAGCTACCAGTCTATCAATAAGCAGCTGGCTGACGCGCTCACCAAGCTAAACGTGATGCCAATTGACGCCATCGGGTCCGTGTTCGACCCTGAGATGCATGAGGCCATCCAGAAGCTCGAGTCGGAGGAACACCATGAGGATGTCGTGTGCGCGCAGTACCAGCGCGGCTACAAGATCGAGGAAACACTCATCCGCGCCGCAATCGTTGGCGTGTCGCAAGGGCCCGGGCCCGCGGTGGCTGACGGCGCGGAGGGGAATGGCGTGGCGGAGGAGGGTGCAGAAGAGGGTGCGGAAGAGGGTGCAGAAGAGGGTGCGGAGGAGGGTGCGGACGGCGTTGCGGAGGAAGGGGTGGCCAATGAAGTCGAGGCAGGCGGGCAATAATGCAACGCTAGGAGTCATGGCAGGTCTTCCTTGGCGATGCGGCGCTTTCGATTGTAGATTTCTTTACACGGCGCGAATAAAGGGCTGCCGTTCGACAGGGGAGAACGGCTGTGATGAGCAACTCATAGATACGTAAAATAAAACCAGGCGGCCGCAAACACACACGGCCCGAAAGCCACTATGCGTCGCCGCCGGGAACCTCATCGGGCTTCTTCCTCGAAAACACGCGTGCGACGGCGGGGGTGGCGGCGACCGTGAGCGGGAAGCGCAGCGGGCTGGTGGCCTTGTGCGCGATGTAGGCGAGCGTGGCCGTGGAGGCGGTGTCGGGCACGCTGTCCAGGACGGCGGGGCGGCCGATGGGCGTGCGCGCGAGCAGGTTGCCAAACTCGGTGACGACGGCGCGCACGTCGACGCCCGCGGCAATCATGACGTACAGGACGGCGTACGACAGCAGCGACAGGCCGATCGACGTGCCCAGGTACGACCCGCCGTACAGCTTGGCCAGCTGCTTGCTGCTGGGCTTCTCGGGCGGCGGCGGGGGCGGCGGCGCGCCGGACATGCGCGGCGCGCGGGAGGGCAGCCCGGCGCGTGCGCGGGCCCGGCGCGGGATGAAGGTCGACGCCGGCATGGGGGTCGTCATCTC